TTTTCAGAGTACAACCTGCCTATAATGGCATAAAATTATATCTCTAAAAAGGGAATATGAGGCCATGCACGGTGACTCATGTCTGTAATCCCAGTACTTTGGGAGGCTGAGGCGGGCGAATCACTTGAGGTCAGGAGTTCCAGACCAGCCTGACCAACATGGTGAAACTCTGTCTCTACTAAAAAATACAAAAATTAGCTGGGTGTGGTGGCCAGCAGCTATAGTCCTACCTACTCAGGAGGCTGAGGCAGGAGCAGGGTGCCCAGGTTGGAGTGCAGTGGTGCAATCTTGACTCACTGCAACCTCTGCCTCCTGAGTTCAAGCGATTCTCCTGCCTCAGCCTCCTGAGTAGCTGGGACGACAGGTGCACGCCACCACACTTGGTTAATTTTTTGTATTTTTAGCAGAGACGGGATTTCACCATGTTAGCCAGGGCAGTCTCAATCTCCTGACTTTGTGATCTGCCTGCCTTGGCTTCCCAACGTGCTGGGATTACAGGCGTGAGCCACTGCACCTGGCCTTTTATAGGCTGTTTTATATTACAGAAACAAACCAGGTTTTGATTCACCTGTTTTCAAACACTCTTTTTATAGAATCTACAAAGTATTACTGAGCCCACTGAGGCCTATAAGGAAAAATTGAATATCCAGTGATAAGAACAAACAATAAGCTATCTGTGAAAATGCTTTGTGATGTTCTATTTCATATCACAGAATGGAACCTGTATTTTGATGCACCAGGTTCCAATCACTCTTTTCGTAGAATCTACGAAGTGACATTTCTGGGCCCACTGAGGCCTATAAAAAAAGTCAAATATCCAGCGATGAAAACTAGAAACATGATATCTGTGAAGATGCTCTGTGATGTGCTGTTTCATGACAGAATAGAAACTGTATTTTGATTTACCAGGTTCCAAGCACTTTTATCTTAGAATCCACGAAGTGACATTTCTGAGCCCATTGAAGCCTATAAGAAAAAACTGAATATCCAGCAATAAAAACTAGAAACCAGGTGACTGTGAAAATGCTTTGTGACCTGCTTTTATATCAAAGAATGGAACCTGTGTTTTGATTCATCAGGTTCCAAGCACTCTTTATATAGAATCTACGAAGTTACATTTCTGAGCCCATTGAGGTGTATAAGGAAAAGTCGAGTATGTGTCTTTAAAAAGTAGAAACAAGGTATCTGTGAAAATGCTTTTTGATGTGCTGTTTCATATCACTGAATGGGACCTGTGTTTTGATTCACTATGTTCCAAACACTCTTTCCATAGAATGGATGAAGTGTCATTTATGTGCCCATTGAGGCCTATGGAGAAAAATTGAATATCCAGCAATAAAAACTAGAAAGAAGCTATCTGTGAAAATGCTTTGTGAGGTGCTGTTTAGTATCATAGAATGTAACGTGTTTTGATTCAACAAGTTCCAAACACTCCTTTTGTAGATTCTACAAATGACATTTCTGAGTTCACTGAGGCCAAACAAACAAAAATCAAAAACAAACAAACAATAAACAAATATGCAGCAATAAAAGCTACAAACAAGCTATAAATGAAAATGCGTGGTGATTCACCGTTTCATATCACAGAATGGAACCTGTGTTTTGATTCACCAGGTTCCAAACACTCTTCTTATAGAATCTACAGTGACATTTCTCAGCCCATTGTGGCCTTCTAGAAAAAATGGAATATACAGCGATAAAAACTGGAAGTAAGCTGTATGTGAAAATGCTTTGTCATGATCTGTTGTTTCGTCTTACAGAATGGAACCTCTATTTTGATACACCAGGTTCCAAACAGTGTTTAGGTAGAATCTACGAAGTGACATTTCGCACCCCACTGAGGACTAAATGGAAAAATCAAATATCCAGTGATAAAAACTAAAAACAACATGCCTGGTTTCAGAAAACAAGTGACTCACTGTGTAAAAAAAGAATGAACAGCAGATGAAGGCATTTAGAAAAGAAATTCAACGGTAATGTAGAAGTCAGTTGGAGTCTTGTTTTTCTGTTTGTGGGATCAGTTTTTGATATATTTATAAACAAATGAACAAACAAAAAAGCTACCTCAGCCGATAGATTTACGAACAAGCCAGGGAATCCTGGGACTGTGGTGTGCACACTATTTGGATCCAGTTGTTGTGCGGGGAGAGGTAAGGTGGGCGGGTGCCTGGAGGGAAGAGCCCAGAGCTGTTTTCTGCAGTTCTCAGAAGAGCCCCCTTGAGCTGGGATTTTCACTGAAATATATCATTTCTCGTTCAATTTGAAATGAAAAAAAATTATGAACTCTTCTGTGCCAAAGCAGATACACAGGAAATGTTGTCTGCTGTTTTATAGTTTTCTCAGAACTTGGAAAACATGACTTAAAAGTATCTAAACATGGATGTAGTATACTTAATATTCACCAAAATTAAATGAAAACATTTAGGTTCTAATGTCCCATCTTACTTGTTGATTCAGTTCAATATTTTTTGCTTATTAAATGTGAGTACTTTCTGTCATCTTTTAGATTTAGTGACTAATAAACTCTAAATAAAGCATTTCAAATGCATTCTAGTATATATTTGGGAGTTTCCATATCTTGATTTTAAAGATTTGAAACCAGCTTTAATTTTTGTGTAGTGTATTTCTCTCAATTTATAACTCAAGTTGATGTAAATATCTATGAAACTGTATTTAGATTGTAAATGTCCAACCAAGACTACTTTGGGCAAAGGTCATTGTGAAATGAGATGCTCATGTACTCATGCACCTTAAAAAAAAGAAAAACAACTAAATTGTTATCAAAAATAAATTTTAAAGTTATGTAGTTATAAAAAGGTACACATTCACCTGTAAGTTTAGAAGTCATGTCTCTAATGCTTATAATAAAACACACTGGCTCAGATGCTAAATGCGGGAGCAAGGCTGGCTCCTCTAAGCAGAAAGGCACGTGTGGCTTTAAGTCAGGATTTCAGGAGCAACTCCAGACGCCAGTGTCATGCGACCTCAGCCACAATCAGAAGCCCCATTGGGAGAGGACACCAGGCTGCAAGACAGAACCCTCAGGGTGATGCTGCACCACGCTGGGAGCTCAGCTCACAGGGAGCCTGGGAGCGGCTGCAGCTTTCTAGGCCCTGCATAGAGAATGTCACAGAAGGACAATGAAGAAGCCCATGCTCAGGCCTTCAGGTTTCATTTCTGTGACTGCTGGGTCACACACTCCTTCTTTCTATGCTCGCACGCCAACACACTATCATGGTGCCAAAATACGCTCTCATTTCACTCAAGACATCAACCCTGGTTGAAGCCAGTGCCCCATGCTGCTCCTGGGCCTCCAGCGAGCACCGCAGCTGCTGGACTCTCCATTCCTCAGCGATTGTTCCCTTTGGGGGGTCCCTCCTGCCTGCGGTTTGTGTGATCCTTTCTTCGCTTTTATCCTGGATGCAGCAGGCTAGCAACTCCCCCATGGGGAATCTGGGCACCGGAGACCTTCCTCTCTTCCATCGGGTAGCAGCAACTTCGTTCCCTCACGGCCACTGGGACCCCTATTAGCTCCTTTGTTCTGTCGGCCCCGAAGTGCTGAGAATGGCACAGTGGCCGGCGACTGTCACAATCTCTAGCCCCCTGGAACCATTTCTGTTCCTGGTGGAAGCACTTATCCCCGGTGTTGTCGTAGTGAGAGTAGTTCATACTGGCTGTGGAAATAGAAAAAGCCTGGGGTCTCAGTGGCTTCACGTCTTCTCTGGCTCACTGCTCATGCAGTCTGGAAGTAAAATCAAGGCTATTGTGAAAATTAAATGAATTAAGCAGAGTGCCTACAACAACATCCCCAAGCACACTGTCAGCACTGAGCATGTTTTTCATTACTACTCTTAATGAGATAAGAATGAGATCACAGGCACCAGCCAGGAGCCTGGAGCCCCTCTGGCAGAGGCATCAGAGACCCTACTTTTAACATCCTCTGTTCATTCATTTGACTCTGAAAAGGGAGGAGTCTCATGGGAGAGGAGCAAACATCCACACTGGGGCCAGACACCCCATGGTCAAAGTCGGGATGTTCAGAAAAGAAAACTGATTTTACCAATGTCTCAGTAAGTTAGTGGGTGATAGATATGGACTCCCAGATCTTTCTGTCCACAAAGCCTACAAATTCTCCCTTGTTAGGCAGGCTGGGTACCAGGCCCTGCTTCTGCGCTCCGCTCATTTCCTGCTAGTCAATAATGGCAGAATTGATAGAAACGTTATCCCCCTTCACCACCTGGAGCAGAGCCAATGAGAGGAGCTGGGGGACATCCATGAGGCCCTGCACCCACCATTCAATGTCTTCAGGATTGTGGTCCCTCAGGACTCTTGCAGCACGTGCTGGCAGCACTCGCAGTGTCTGGGTGTCTTGTGAAGTTGTACAGGATCCAGCAGAGGCCACTGGCTGTGTTGTCATATCCTAAGAGGCAGCCAGGCAGGTTTGGATCGCTTCGCTGCTTCAGCACCAAAGGATGGACAGCGCCCATGCACCGAGGCCCTGGGGAGAATGAGAAGAGGGAAAGGAAGGGCAGAATGGAGTGATATAGGGTCCATCCACTGTGTCCCTGAATGGAGATACCCCTGTTCTCACAGTAGCCCCACACCGAGACCACCATTGACACTCATGAGGATGCCAGCCTCCATTTATATGTCCTTATCTGACAACTCCTTCCCATTTTCATCCTGGAGACAAGACTTCTGAACACATTGAGGGTACCTGAGTGTAACCTGACATGGTCCCTGAAGACTTTTCATCCAAGCAGGATCCCTCCCTTGCCATCTCCAGACCTCCCCACAAGCTCCCTCCCTGGTCTGGCTCTTGTTCACTCCTTCCAGGAAGCCTTCTACGGTCATCTCTAAAACATGGCTGACTGTTCCTCCTTTATCCAGCACTTTCCATGGCTCCCCAGAGCCCTCAAGATCAAGTTCAAGTTCTTTGATCAGACACTTGATCTCAAGCTGCATTCCACCTTCTGAATTAAGATCCCGGAGACGCCCACCTTGCCCAGCACAAGTGCATCACTGAAGTTCAAAGTCTTGAATGTGGCCTTGGCCTTGAGGATGTCATCAACACCCTGGCTAGTAAGGGTGCAGTGCTGCTCCACGATGATGGTGTCTAAAGTTGTGCACCAGGTCATAGGCCCTGCAGAAGCATCACCCCTCAGGAGTGAGCTAGTACAGAAGTCCGTGCACAGGCAGATCTGCTGGTGCCATTACACTATGAGGGCATGGAGCTCCAAGATGGTGGCAACATAGTCACTAGAATTCCTGCAGGGTGAGGCTGGGGAGAGGAAGCAGTTGCATAACACATATGAAACCCTGGAAGCACTTCCCAGCCAGAATCTCAGGAACACATTACATCCAGATACGGGTGCCCTCTGAGTACACTTCTCTCTCTGCCTCCTACTCTGACCTGCCTCCTGGCCCCACATGCCCCAGCCTGGCTCAGGGCTTGGAGCCCAGCAGGAGAGCCCTTGCCAGCTCTGTGACTCCTCCTGTGGAACCTCTGACTCTGCCTTGGGACCTCCCAATTCCCATGGGAAGCCCCCACAGCTCTGGATTGCCCCACCTGCCCTGGGATTCTCCAGCTCCATAGGCCTTACTTGGTGCCTTAGCCCTCCCAGAACATGACATGTTTCTCAGAATCTGGCTGATGTCCAGGGCCATCTGTGGATGTTTGCTGGGGGCCTCTTGTTGTTCTCCTTATGGTCTCTAGGGCAGGGCAGGGCCAAAAGGAGAAACCAATCAAATCTCAGAATGGACAAAAGGCTCACTGCCACAAACGGTAACCACCAGACAGTCAGCAGTGCTTCTGGAAAAAAAGGTTTCATTCTGCAAAATGCTCCTTGTTTGGCTTCTTTCTGAAGCCAGGGAAGGGTACCAAGCCCAGTTTACCTCCGGTGCCTACATTACCATCTGTGCCTAGGATGCGCGATGGGCCCCTGTTTCCACTGCAGGGTTGACGTTCCCTCCAGCTGGAGACCTGGGCTCCTGACCCCACCTGACCTGTTTGTCCTGCTCTGGATGAGGGTGGAAAGGCTGTACCTGGTGTTTTCCTAGGTCCTTTGTTTCCGCCGTCCAGACATCCAGCAGCAGTGACCATGCCCAGCTGCACACCTGAAAGTGGACTCCCCTGTAGAGCAGCTGAGGCGTCTACAGACAGAGGAGTGCCTGGTGAGACAGGCCGCGGGGTCTCCGGGGAGGACCGGGGGCCAGAAGATTCTGGAGGTTTCCAGTCTTGGGCTCTGTGGTTCCTCAAAGAGGTTAGGTTTACCTAAAACCAGGCCTCCCCTCCCATGATTCAAAGAGTGGATGCGTGTTCTGCATCAGGAACTCTGATCTGGACCTGTTTTTTCATTTAGGTCTCCAACAGACAACCCCTAACCTCTGAGATAGGGATGGTCCAAGCTCTGGCATGAGATTCTCTTCTAGCAACGCGATGCTTGCAGGGACAGGTGGAAAAGCTGGTGACCAGGCCTGCTGCCCTCCGGGTAAGGACAGTGTGCCACCCACCCTCTGAGAGGCAGGTGGTGCCAGACCACAGCACTGGGTGCCTGTACACCTGGCTCTGCAGACACCAGTCATGGAGGTCCTCCCCTCTTCACATTACCTTCTTGCTGCTCTTAAATTTCTTCTAGTCATTAAGCACTTTGAGCCATTTTTCTGTGCATCTGATCTGACATTTTTGCTCTCAGATGAAACACGATAAAGTAAGCCAAGCCACCAGGATTCCTGGAGGGGACCTTTGGTGCTGGGTCTTGGGCTCCAGGGCCCTGGTGGGTCTGAACTAGAAGGAGCCAGGGAAGGACAAACACTGGGAGTGAGACCCTATGACCCAATGGCCATTGGTGGCCTGGGTCCCAAGACACCCTGTCCTCAGGCCACAGACACCATGGGCTTTGGTCAGGAACCAGTCTCCCAGTAGTGTCCTGGCACTAGCGGGTGCTGACCCCTGAGCCACAACTGCAGTTCTGGGTTTTGGGTTTGGTAAAACCACCTCAGGGACAGAGTTCTGGGGCTGGGTTTGGCAGAAACCATGGTGCCTCCCAGGGATGGTATGTCACTCCTACTTGCCACAAAATGTGCACACAGGCTTCCCACTGTCCAGCCCATCCTGCTGGACAGGATGGAGGAAGCCAGGAAACAGACAGGGTGGACATCTGGGGTGCAAGGAGAGACAGGTGCATTCTGGGAGGTCAGACCCTGTGAGGGTTACGGGGGCATCAGGTGGAGTGGGCTCCAGGTGTCCCCTCAATGCACTGGGCAGGTCTCAGGCCAGGATCCCTGGACCCCGGCTGGGTGATGTGGTCACTCCCTGGAGGACTGCTGTCAGGCCCTGGCCACCCACCCTGGGCAGCACCGTCCCATCTCAGGACTGGACTTTCTGAGTCCTAAGACAGGACAGGGCTGCCCAGGCCTGACAGACTGGGAGGACCTGTTAAGTCCTCCATCCCTAGACCAGCCTTCCACACAGCAGGGACAGTCTCCTACCTTTACCTTCAGGGCACTGACTGACCCATCTCACTCTAAGGCAACCAAGGCAGAGCTGAGGATCTGTGCCAGGCTGGGAGCAAGTCCCCTCCCTAAATGGGCCTGAGGGATGCACCATCCCTGTCCCAATCCTCCGCAAGTTTCAGCCCAGGAGACACATAAGGAAGGGAGGATGGAGCCTCCCTGCTGGCTGACACTGGAAAAGTGGGACCTGGAAGAAGAGGGAGCGCAGGGCTGGCAGGGGATGCTCCAGGCCCATGGAGAGCTTGGGCTGCACCATCGGGCTGCTCCTCCTGGGCTGGAGGCTGTGCCCTCTGTAGGATCTGAGAAAGTCCAGTCCTGAGATGGGACAGTGTTGCCCAGGGTGGGTGGCCAGTGCCTGACAGCAGTCCCCCAGGGAGCGACCACATCACTCGACCGGGGTCCAGGGAGCCTGGGCCAAGACCTGCCCAGTGCACTGAGGGTGCACCTGGAGCCCACCCCACCTGACGCCCTCACAGTCCTTACAGGGTCTGACCTCCCAGCATGCACCTAAGTCTCCCTGCACCCCAGCTGCCCACCCTCCCTGTTCCCTGGCTTCCTCCATCCTGTGCAGCCCACAGACTGTGACCATCTCACCAGCCACTCTGGCCCTTCCTTTACCTTTGCCCTGTCAAAATCTCTGAGCAAGAGCTCCTAGGTCCATCCAAACACCTGCTTTGTCCACTTTTGACTGGGCCTTTGGGCACTACTGGTCCATCCCAGCTGTCCACAGGGCCTTCGATAACATGCATTGCACCTGACATCTCCCAGCAGTGCTCAGCAGCCCCCATTGGCCAGGTCCCTGCTGACCAGATCTCGCACATCAGGTCCTCCCTGACCACACCCTCACTGATTAGAACCCCATGACCAGGCCCCACTAACCAGGCCCCTGCTGCCAGGCCCACAATGACCAGGACCCCACGTACCAGGATCTTACTGACCAGGGCCTCATTGACAAGGTCCTTACTGACAAGGCCTCACTGACCAGGTTCTTACTGACAAGGCCTCATTGATCAGGTTCCACCGATCATGACCCCATTGCCTGGCCCCGCAGATAAGGCCCCACTGACCAGACCTCCAGGGAACAGGATGCCACTGACCAGGCCCCTATTAACCAGGCCTTAGGTGACCAGATGCCCCTGACTGTGACCCTAGTGAGTAGGCTCCACTGAATAGGCACCCACTGCTCAGATCCCCACTGACCAGGTCAGCCCATAGCCACCCGGTGGCTACAAAACCCACCACTGACCAAGCCCTCTCTGACCAGGCCCCCACTGATTAGGTTCCACTGACCAGGCTGCCGTGACCAGTACCCCACTGACAAGGGCCTCACTGATGAGGACATGGCCACCAGGCCCTGCTGACTAGGTCCCATGTGACCAGGCCTCCACTGAATAGCACCCCTTGACCTGCCTAGTTTCACACTGACCAGACACCAAACAAGTGGTTGCT